CAGAATCGAACCTGGGACCCTTTAGTCCACAGGCCGACGCTCTATCCACTGAGCCAAACCGGTTAGGGCTTTAAGTCTTCTTTAAATGTTTGGTAAAATTCCCCTGTGAATCCATCAGGCCCAGGGCATTTATTTACTGGAAGTTTTTTGATGACTGCTTCAACTTCCTCCATAGTTATTGGCTTCTTCCTAATTGAGTTTTGGAAGATTGTATCTTTCTAGGAATATGTCCATTTCTTCTACTTGTCCAGTTTGTTGGAATAGAGTTTCATAGTATTTTTTTATAATCCTTTGTATTTCTGTGGGGTAAGTTGTTACTTCACCTCTTTCATTTCTGATTTTGTTCATTTTGGTCTTTTCTCTTTTGTTTTTTGGTGATCCTGGCTAGAGGTTCATCAGTCTTGTTTATCCTTTCAAAGAATCAGCTCTTGGTTTTATTGATTTTTTTATTGTGTTTTTGGTCTCTATGTCATTTATTTCCCCTCTGATGTTTATTTTTCCATCCTTCTGCTCACTCTGGGCTTTTCTTGTTGCTCTTTTTCTAATTCTTTAAGTTGTAGGGTTAGCTAATTTATTACCAGTTTTTCTTGTTTTTTGAGGTAGGCCTGTAAAGCTATGAACTTCCCTCTCAGAACTGCTTTAGATTTTGGATTGTTATATTTTCATTGTCATTTGTTTTTATTTCTTCTTTCATTTCTGGTAACCCAATTATTGTTTAATAATGTGCTATTTAACTTCCAAGTGTTTGAATTATTGTATTGTTTTTATTGTAGTTGATTTCTAAAAGCTTCAGAGTTGGCAGGGTCATGCACCTATGACATGAGGCCATAAGGTATCAAAAGAAGCTTTTATTTCAGGCACCTGGGTGCAGGTAGGCTGAGTCCAACAAAGGAATCAGCAGAGAGTGTAGGGAGGGAAAGGTTTTTATTAACTTTTGCTGCCTGCAAGCCGTTTTGCTGATGTAAGGGTTTGGTCCGTCCTTAGCTCTTCCTGGCGCTAGATTTCCAGTAGCTATCTGCACTATGCCATGGTGAAGATTGCAAGTTTTCTGCAAGATATCTCCTAAGTACAATAAGTTTTCTCTGTCCTGTTTTACTCTCTTTAACCCTTTCAATTTCTAGTGTTATGCCATTGTGATCTCAGAAGATGTTTGATATGATTTCAGTCTTCTTGAATTTGTAGAGACTTTGCCTATGTTCCAATATGTGGTATATCTTTGGAAATGTCCCATGTACACTTGAGAAGAATATATATTTTGTAGCTTTGAGGTGAAATGTTCAAAATATGTCAATTAAGTCCATCTGATCTAGTGAGTCATTTAGGATTGCTGTTTCTTTATTGATTTTTTGTCCAGAGGATTTATCCAGTGATATCGATAGGGTATTAAAGTCCCCTACTATGATTGTATTGCTGTCAATCTCTCCCTTGATATGTTCCAGAACTTTTTTTAAATGTATTTGGGTGCTTCTGCATTGGTTGCATATATGTTTACCAGAGTTATATACTCTTGTTGAATTGCTCCCTTTAGTATTATGAAGTGGCCTTCAATATCTCTTGTTATGGCCTTCACTTTAAGGTCTATTTTGTCAGATATAAGTATTGCTACCTCAGCTTTTTTTTTTTCATTTTTGTTTGCCTTAAGAACATTTTTCCATCCCTTCACTTTCAGTCTGTGAGTCCCTTGTTCTGAGGTGGGTCTCCTATAGAAAGCAGATATGGGTCATGTTTTCTTATCCATTCAGCCACCCTATGTATTTTGATTGGAGCATTTAATCCATTTATATTTAAAGGTATTATTGATAAGTATTTGTTTGTAGACATTTTTATTTTTTGTGCCTGTGTTCCTTCTTCCTTTTCTATTTTTTCTTTTTACAACAGTACCTTTTGCATTTCTTGCATTGCTGGCTTGGTAGTAATAAACTCCCTTAGCCTTTTTTTATTTGCAAAGCTCCTGATTTCCCCTTCAATTTTGAATGATATCCTTGTTGGATAGAGTGTTCTTGGATTCAATCCCTTGCTTTGCTTCACTTTGTATACTTCATTCCATTCCCCTCTGGCCTGATGTGTTTCTGTTGAGAAATAATTTGATAATCTAATGGGAGATCCCTGTAGGTAACTCTCTGTCTCTCTCTTGCAGTGCTTAAGATTTTCTCTTTGTTGTTAATGTTTGCCAATGTAATTATGACGTGTCTTCATGTGGGTCTTTTGGGGTTCATCTTGTTTTGGAATCTCTGTGCTTGTATGACTTTTTTCTTCCTCAAGTCAGGGAAGTTTTCTGTCATTTCTTCAGATAGGTTTTCTAATCCTTGCTCCTCTTCTTGTCCTTCTGGCCTCCCTATTATATGGATGTTGCTTTTTTTCATGTTGTCCCTAAGCTCCCTTAAGCTCTCCACCTGCTTTCTATAATTTTTCCTCCAATTGCTGTTCAAATTGGGTGTGTTTTCCCGCCCTGTCTTCTAGCTCGCTGATGCGGTCCTCCTTTTCTTCTAGTCTACTGTTGAAACCTTCCATTGTGTTTTTTATTGTAACTGTATCATTTTTTATTTCCTCTTGATTCTTACATAAGTTGTTGATTTTCTCATCTAGCCTGTTTAGGAACTGTATGACCCTTACTCTGAATTCTTTTTCTAACATTTTTCATGCCTCCATTTCATTTAGATTTTTTTCTGGCGATTCTTCCTTTTCTTTCCTTGGGGCTTGTTTCTTTGTCTCCCTATTTTTGCTGTCTCTTTCTTGCTCTGGGCTCCCTGCAGGAGGTCCCAGGCATTAAAGCCCCTAGCAGTCCAATGGTCCTGGACCCCTAGCCCAGGAGTTGGGTCTGCCTTGAGCTTCACACTGTTATTGTCTCTCCTCTGAGTTGTACTCCCTTCTCCCATGGTTATGATCCCTCAGTTGTCTGTTTCTTGGGGTTGGCGCATGTGGGTGCATAGTTGCTCTGGTTTGTGACTCTCTGTGAAGGCCAAGAACCCTCTGGCATGCAATTTTCTGTGCAGCCCCAGCTCCTAAGGCAGGATGGTGCCTAGGTCCCTTTGGCAGTGCACTTGCAGCATGGTACTGTGACCTGTTGCTGGGCACACCAGGACCCACCAGCAGTTCTGACCTGGGGTGGGGGTAGAGCATGTGCCGGGTGACAGCTCTGTCTGTGCTGGGTTCAGAGCATGCACAGTTAAAAGGCTCTCTCTATGCTGGGGGCGGAGCCTCTGTCTGTGCTGTTGGCCAAGCACCCACCTATCAATGGCTCTGTATCTGCTGGGTGTGTAGCACACACTGGCCCAAGGCTCCATCATTGCTATACGCACCAGGCTGCCTCTCTGTCTGTACAGGGGTGGGGCAACACTGGTCAGAGGCTCTGTCTCTGCCGGGAGCATAGCAAACACTGGGCTGAGGCTCTGTCTGCACCAGGGGTGGGGTGCACACCAGCCAAAGGCTCTGTCTGTGCTGCTGGCAGAGTGCACTCTTGACAAAGGCTCTGTCTGTGCGGGGGGTGGGGTGATCACCGGGCGAGAGCTCTGTCTTGGTGGGGGTGTAGCATGCACTGGGCTGTGGCTCTGTACTAGGACCAGGGATGGAGCAAGGAGTTGGGTACCCATGGCTTGCACTCACAGCATGGGGACCTGAAGCATGGGATTCTGGGACACTGGGTTTGGGCTTTGGCAAGGAGACACAACTCAGGAGGTCTGTCTGGCGAGCACTCGCTGCAGACATTGGGACCTACATTGTGGTATCACGCTGCTCACTGCTGGAGCATGGTGGTGGTTCCACGTGTGTTATGGCTGGCAAGCAGCTCCCTTCACAGGTCCTGGGGAGCTATGCGAGGTTGGTCTGGGTTTTGGTGTGGCAGCACTCCTGGCCTCCGATACTCCCCTCTACAAGATGGCATGGGTTCCCCACCAAAGCCGAACCAGTCTGGGGGTGCCCGTGGTGGCGGCAGGGACTCTGCATCTAGGAGAGCCTGATCTTCCAGTTCCTGGGACTCCTGAGATATCTATCTGTTCCTCATTCATTCACACACATACCGCACATGTCTACACATGCTCTTCTCACCCCTTTACTCACTCACACTCTCTCCCTCTTTATTTATATTTTTTCTAGTTTATTTTCATCTGTGGGGCTTGCCTATTTAGTATTTATTTTAAATAATACTTTTTAAGTCTGTTGATTTTTTGTATCTATCAATTTGTATTGCCTATTATTTCTCTTAGGTTTTGTTTATGTATCAGATAATCTTTGTATGAGTTTTAAACAATGTATAAGAAAATTTGTAGAGGTTTATTTTAAACTTAGAAATAATTTCAAACTTACAGGAAAGTTGTAAAGTAAGAAAAGTACAAAAAACATTCATATACCATTTGCCCAGATTCACCTATTGTTAACATAACATTTCACTGCTTTTACATTATAATTTGAATATGCTCTCCTTCATTCTCTTTTCTCTTTCCTCTTCCCACCTCTCTATATGTATATGTACATGTACATACTTCCACTCATATATTTTTTCTTAGCCATCTGTTTAATTTGAATACATTATGACCTCTTTACCCCTAAATACTCCAAGGTGTATTTCCTAAGGAATATTCTGTAGAGACAGTTGGAGCCTCTGGATGATATGATTTCTTTAACAGAAATTGTTATATTTTTCTAGCTTTTCTGGCTAAGATTTATCTAAAAAATTTAGTCTGCCATTGCCAGAAATTTCTAAAGTTTTATTGCTGTTGTGTATTTTCCTATTGTGAGGGCCAGTCTCTCCTCATTACCCTTCTTTTATAGAATTTCTTTACTATTGCTATTTATTTATTTTCTATATGAAATTTTACAATAAGTTTTTCTTGTTTCTAAATAATTCATTTTTTATTATTAAATTATGAATTAATTTTGGAAGATTGATATTATCATGTTAATATTCCTACATAACAACAGGGTCTGTTTTTCCATTTCTCCAAAACTTCTTTTGGAATCCTCAGCAGTCTTTTACTTTCTCCTCGTTTTTCTTCTGCTCACAGCAAGATGGATTCTGGATATACTCTGAGTACTGTAACAACCATCTGGACGCCTGCATGGAGCTCTCCAAACTGATGAAGGACAGCCGCTATCAGCACTTCTTTGAGGCCTGTCGCCTCTTGCAGCAGATGATTGACATAGCTATTGATGGTTTCCTTCTCACTCCAGTCCAGAAAATCTGCAAGTATCCCTTACAGTTGGCTGAGCTCCTCAAGTATACTGCCCAGGACCATAGGTAAGGGATTAATGAAGGCAAGAGTGAAGGAGAGAGCCTCCTCTACATGTTGGTTCTTACTGAGTATGTATGTTGTTTTTCCTTGTCTGAGCTTCTGTTAGCTTCTTTGCACAATGGGATGATGACATATTCTTGCTTACCTCACAAGGCTATTATGTGTATAAAGTAAGGGAAGGCTTATGAGAGTTGCTTATAAAGTTGTAAATCAAGTTTCCTTGCATTATAGTGTCTCTGTTACTGGTTTTTAAGAGCTTGTTTATGACTAAAGATGTTAACCATTTCTCATGTGTTGCAAATGAAATACCATGTTTTTTGTTACTATTTTATTCTGGTGTTTTACTTTTTGGTTGTATCAAACTTGTGTATTAAATATGATCATGTTCTGTTTTTAAAAAGTTGTAAGTCAGTATGCACAAAAAATCATTATGCATCATCATTATTGTACAACTTAAACCCTGCCTTCAGGGAGCCTACAGTCTGGTCCTTAGTCCTGAGTTTAGCCAAGTAATTCAACACAGATGGAGTAATTGTTCAACTGTTATTTTCTATTCTGCTTAATAGATTTAAATATTTTGGTAATAGCCTGCCCAACTATACCGATCTTACATTTATTCTGCAAGGCTAACTCCTTAGTTTTCTTTATCTTTTCTATCCTGCTCTGCCTCATTCCAACTGTACTTTCCCATTAGATCCTGAACATACTGGGGGAAAATAGACTTGAAACTTCCCCTGAAGTTTTTTTTCAAAGTTTTTTTAATATTTTCAAGAAAACCAACTCAAAATGGACCAAGGAGTTTATCTCTCAGAATGGAAATGGCATCCCTAACCCCTTACCAGTAAGGTATATGCTGGGAGTCATCTCCAACAATGGGGATGATCTAAAGTGAACCATCCCCCACTCTCCCACTCTTTCAAGTGTTTTACTTCATGAACTAGAGTCCTCAGCTTGTTTCTAGACCGCCTTTAATTGGTATTAGGTCCCTGACCTTAGACCAGTTGGCCCAACTCTCTGCTTTCTTTCTGATTGAACACTCCAAGTAGAAAGAAGGCCTTTGCCCAATTGTTTTAGCTTCCTATCTGATTTGTATTAGGCCTGGTTTCTACTTTTATTTGGCTCCATTGCCTAGGTTCCTTGGATCTGATTTCTAGACCTAGTTGCATAAGGCCATGGGTGTTGGCCAGTTGGTTTTGTTTATGTCAAACTGCTAGGTCAATCCATGCGTTTATTTTTAAGTTGATGTTTTTCTAAGCAAATCATGGGTCATGTGCTTCAGTAGTTTTGGAGCCCTGAACAGATTTCAGATACGAATCCAAATACAGTGACACTGGACTCTCCCTTTGTGTGAGTAACACCACCAGTAGTAATTCTGCCTTCCATGCTCTGTTGGCTATGAGGGAGGCAGGTAGAGAGAAGGACCTTGCAAAGGAGGATTCTTCTCTCTCCTCCTTCAGTCTGTTTGCTAGTTTGGGAATGATGGGAATATTCATTAGATATGAAATTTGGAGGTGACTAAATCTCATTTAAAAAGATTTAATACAACTCATTGTCAGAACTGAATGCCAAGTTTTCTAAGGACACAGTTTCTTGTGAGAGCTAACATAGGACACTGAAGAACCCCCACTAAAATTAAGATATTTTGAAAATAAGAATGGACAATATTTATGGCACTTATAATGGAAAGACCCTTAAAGGAACGTATACTGGTCAGATTTCCTCCTTCTATAGCTGGAGAGACTGAGGCCCAGACAGTGAAATTACAAAGAGCAAGTCCTTAGAAAAACAGGGACACAAATTTTGGACAGTGGTCTGAGAACTTAGCTTTTTTTTTTTTTAACTGTAAGTTGTTTTTTGTTTTGTTTTTTTAAAAACCTCACTCGAAGATATGTTTATTGACTTGAGAGAGAAACATTAATGTGAGAGAGAAACCTCGATCAGTTGCTTCCCATACACGCCCCAACCTGGAATTGAACCTGAAACCTAGGTATGTGCCCAGACCTGGAATCAAACCCACAACCTTTTGGTGTACAGGATGGTGCTCCAACCAGCTGAGCCACCTATCCAGGATTGGGAACCTAACTTTTTAAACCTTTTTAAAGAGCTCTCCAAGTGATTCCATGCCCAAGAAGGTTTGTCAGCCATTGTATTAGCCCATCTGCAAGGTGTCTTCCGGTTCTGTTAACTTGTGATATCATGAGCCTAAATGCCATTCACAGTTATACTTCATGGTGTTAAATGACCAGAAGCAGCCACTATTGTACCTAAATCTCAGTGGAGCAGCCTCCAGACCAATAGTTTTAAAACCGGTATATTCAAATAGTGGTTCTCAGATGTTTTTATATCACAGTTCATTTCCTACCTAATCCTGAGTATCTGTTCCATGGAACCTAGCAGAAGACTCTAAAAACCATACTTGGGGATGGATGATTTCAACTAGGTAAATTATATGTTACATAATTGCTTTTAAGAGCTCAGAAAGACCATGTTCAAAGCACAGCAAAAAGCTATGTTAGTTTCTTAGGTCAAAGCAACCTCAGGGCCTTTTGAGTTTAATGGGAACCAATAAGATAGGTCATCTGCCTGGGATTTGCCATTCCTGTGTTACTTCACCTCGTAACTGGAACCCCTGCCTCAAGGCCTCCTTTCCCTTTGGGTCCCTGGTCTCCTGTCCTTCTATCCCCTGGGATCAAGAGTGCTGAGAGAATGTCTCAGAGAGTGACAGGCTACATCAATCCCTATTTTCCTTCAGCATGCCCTATTGGGCCCAGCACTATACCCAGATCACAGACTACCCCTTTCAGCAGGTTCAGCAAGCTGCATCAAGATGGCAGCTCCTGTGATGCATGTCAGAGTAGCTTGGATTGGAAGGCAATTAGAAGTTGCTGCCAGCTTAAAAGCTTAGTGTGATAGGTGTTAAGATAGGTGGGTCTGAAATGCAGGCAGTCAGGGTGGCTGCTGAGGTAGAAGATTAGATGGATGGACAGTGATAAATGGAGAACAATACTACCTTTGCTTACAGAAGGGTGACATGTCCCCATCCTGCCACCCAACCTTCCTTAAGCTGACAAGAGGGCATTTAGCTGATGTATCTGGAGTAATACAATCTTGCTTCAGTCAATCTCTTCATTAGGGACCTGGGCCCAGACCTCATCTGGAGTCCTCGGGACTCTGAGCAGGATTCAGACTGGACCACACTACTAAAGCTAAAGGGGCAAGTTAGAGATGGGAATATTTCCTCTATAACCATTGTGAGAAAAGCACCCAGGTAACAATAGCAAAGGTTGACTGACAGTATTGCACAGTGGCAGGGATTAATTCATGGCTGAGCGGGGCATGAAGTAATAAGCATTTTCATGCCAGTGCTGTCCAGTATAACTTTCTATAGTAATGTATAGGCTCTATATCTATGCTGTCCAATATTGTAACCACTGGCCATATATGGCTACTGAATACTGAGAAATGTAGCTGATAAAACTTAGGAACAAAAAAATTATTTTACTTAAATGTAGCTAGTGGCTACCTTATTGGGCAGTATAGCTCTGCTTTACCTTCCAGAAAGTAGCTTAAGGCATTTTCCCGATGCTTTCAAATCAGATAGAGGAATGGCCCAAAGAACAGAGGTTCTTGTTTATGTTAACAGCTTCTACTCTACACTGTAACCACCCCTTCTATCATCACCCTATTCTGCTTCTAAATATCAGGCTCAGATAGTAGTGCCAGAGAATAACTTTGGCAATGTTACAGAGCCCAATAGATCCCCCATAGGCTGTAGGATCTATTGTAAAAGGATGAAATGTAACATGAACAAATGTAAAGATTTGCAGTTTTTTTTAATAAATCAACAGTTAAACTATAGATTGAGAGACATGCAGCTTCCAGACAGCATATTTCAAAGAGACTTAGGAAACATTAGTCAGCCATAAGCTCAATATGAGTCAACAGTAGGATCCAGAAGAAAAACTGATAATAGCTAACATTCATAAAGATTCAGGATAAAGAAGAGCTTATTTTTTAACAGAGTTTTCTTGAGACAAAATAAACTGGTTAGGAGGCATAGTAAGTATTTTGTCACTGGAAGTGATTAAATACAGTAATATTTGAAGACTGAGGTCTGGCAGTTGTACAGAAAACAAACTGGAGTAAAGGAGTAAAATAGTTTACATGGATGATTAAACCCTCAATAAATCCTAAGGTAATTCTCCTCATTTTGTGGGAAACTGAGTCACTGAGAGGGTGAATGAAACTTGCCAAAGGCCAAACTACTAGTCAGTGACAAAACTAGGATTTGAGCCCAAAGAGTCTGGTTTCAGTCTCTGTTCTAACCACTGTTTTATGTATTATCTCTATATTGTTCAGGAGGATGTTACTTCACAGTGATTTGGGGCAGAGTTCCCTAGAAATAGGTGATAGAAGAAATGGTAAAGTTGTCTGCATGTGCAAAGATCCCTTCTTGGTTTTTAGCTGGTTGTATCAGATAGGACACAAAAATAATGGTGTAGAAAAGATATGGGTCTATTTTTTATCTTATGAAAAAGATGTCTGCAGGGAGGTAATCTATGGCTGCCATAGTCATCAGAGACTTGGACTTTCTCCAACTTTCTCTTATCCTATCTCTAGGAGTCTGGACCTTATCCTTATGGTCCAAGATGACTGCTAGAACTTCAGCCATCAAATCTATATTCTAAGTATCATGATTAAGTAAGGGCTAAAGAATGGTATGCCAATTTCCTTAAAAGAGGTTTCTCAAAAAATTATTCTCCACACTTTTATTTACATATCATTTGACATAATTTAGTCACATAGTCACCACTTACTGTAAAAAATGATAGGTAATGTAGTCTCCATGTGACATGGCTTCTATCTGAAAACCAGGGTTCTGTTATACTAATTAGGAAGAAGAAAATGGATGTTAGGGTTGGCATGTAGCAAATTGGTTCTCTGGCACATTGAGTCATTCAACTTGTACTTTTGTGTCTTCGCAGTGACTACAGGTATGTGGCAGCTGCTTTGGCTGTCATGAGAAATGTGACTCAACAGATCAATGAACGCAAGCGGCGTTTGGAGAATATTGACAAGATTGCCCAGTGGCAGGCCTCTGTCCTAGACTGGGAGGTAGGATCCTTACCAACAGGGATATTGGGAATTCTGAACAGCTTAGCCAGAACTGCACATAGCCATGGATGGGTGAAGAGGAATTAGATTTGAAGAGCAGCAGGAAGGATTTAGATGAGAGCCAAAGCAAAATGTCATGCTAATGAGAGGTATCATGTACTTGAATAGCTTTCTAAGAAGGTTGGATAAATCTTTGTAACAGTGCTTCATTAAGAAAGGAAAGGTTCATCATTTTTCTTATTGCCAGGAAACGATTGGGTTGACTAATCGTTCAAATCTCTTTCAAGTCCTGGAATTTCATCACCACCAGATGAATACTTGGCTGAAGAGATCTATATCCTAATTTACTCCCAAACACAGAATACAAGGTTGGTTCTCTGGTATAGGCCAGCCAACATACTTATTTTCCTCTTGTTAGGATCACCTCACCATGACATATCTATTAGGTCTACCCAAGCCTGCACACTTCAGGCCCTGACTATCATCCCTGCTAAATTGACAGACCAAATTCTGTTTTTTTTTTGTCATATGCTTATAAAAATAATACCTCACAACCCCATTCCATTGGACATAGATACAACCTCTAAGTAATAATCAATACTTCAGAGCAGCTTAGGGGAACAGCATAGAAAATGACCTGTTCCAAGGACTGTAGTTTCTGGAGAATTTGAATTCCTAATTTTTCTGATGCTGATATTTGGTTTAGCTATCACTTTACCACCCTTTACACGAATTAGATCCACTTGAAAGGAAGGGAGAAGGAACATATCCCCGACACCTTCTTTTTAATCTTTTTTTTTGAGATTTTTTTACCAGGAACCCAAGTTTAGAGCTCATGTTTGGGAACATGATTGTGATTTCCTCCTCATGGAACCCTTCCCCTCACATCCTGGTTGTGTAATACCCAAGGACCTATTGCAGTTTACCATCGGGTGATTTAATCCAAAGAAGTTGGAGGATACACAAAGCCCCAACATGATGGAGGCAGCAAGAGCATCTGTTTAAAAGCTAAACTGGCTTGATGAGGCATGTTCCTGGGACCAGGAGACCAAATCTGGTGCTGGATGGATTTGTTATTTCTCTGCCCTCTTGTCAGTAGGCAGCATTGAAAATAAACTGTATGAAAATAAACCCTACATCAGACAATCAGCCTGTAATCAGAATGGTGTGCTGAGAATTGAGATGAGTGAGATGTGCTTTTGCCTATCCGGGGGTGAAGTGGGGACAAATACATTCTAGGAAGAGGAAATAGTGTGAGCAAAATTCTGGAGGAATGGAAGAGAACAAAAGGCCTGTGGGGAAGGGGTCAGTGGAAAAAGATTGCACTTTGGGGACAAGGTGAGAGCTCTGAATTCTGAGAGAGCTCTTTCCTTCACATGGAATGATTTGACATGGCCACTTTCAAGCAGCCATATAAGGTGAGCCATACAGGAACCATTATATTATTCCAAATGTCCAAATAAGGAAACAGATTGAGAGTGGTTAACATATTTCTCATAGGCACAGGTAAATTGGTAGCAGCAGTGGGTCTAGAACCCAAGCCTTCTGAGATTCTCACCTCAGAAAACTTCCAGGACACCTGGTTGTTCCTTTAAGGAATCATTATTCTATTGTTGTTCAGTGGTTAGAACATGGAATTTGGAGGGAGTCTGACCTGGATTCAGCCACTTTAGGACAATTACTTCCAATTTCTCTGACCTTGATTGTGGGATATTAACAGTATATTTCTTATTATGTTGTGAGTATGAATAGGAGTATGTATGTAGCACAGGATATAGGGCACACAGTAATACTCAATAGAATAACTTTCACTTATATAGAGCTTATAATATGATATGTACTTTCCTAACAACTTCATATATGTTGATTTATATAATCTTCACAACAGTCAAATGAGGTTGGTACTGCTAGTATCCTCATTTTTAAAATGAGAAAACTGAGGCACAGAGAGGACATGTGAATTGCCCGACATCAACTGTCAACCACCTTGATGAGCATAAGGAGTATTTTTTCAAGGTTTTATTTGTTTTTATTTGCTTGGTGGAGTTACATGTGATAAGTAGTACTTAGAATAGAATTTGTCTACTTACTGATACGGTGGGTGGACCAGATGACACTGAGTAGTCCTAGTCCTTGTACAATCATTCTCAGTTTAGTAAGTGGTGCATCTAAAAGTAATCTTGGCCATTCTTGTATGGCATTGGCCCCTTTTATAGATTTCTTTCACTTCATATATATTCAAAATAGATGGTGACACATCTTCCTGTCATACCTCAGATGGAACATGGCAGACTGGTACCACTCTCACCTTTCCATTCCTTCAAAGGAAAGGCCTGTATAGTTCCCTCATTCTGAGGACTTCCTCTCCCAGATCTGGGCCTCCAGAAGTTCTGTGCTATTATGTGGGCTCCCAAAGAAGGAGTGTTATCTAAGTTTTAAGGTATCCCTGGGTTGGAGTCTAGAGTCACAGTAATATCTCTGAGCTTTCTTTCTGAGGTTGTATTATTAGAAAATATTCCCGCTGAGCGCCACTTTTCCTTTCCATCCCTTAGACTGGGAAAAAAATGGTATGCTTGAGAATATAATATCCAGCTACCCCTCTCTTTGGCCCAGTGCTGTTTGCCTCTGATTATTTCTGGGGTGATGCAGCAGCCATCATTTCTAACTGACTTCAAGCTTTGAGTACCAGGGCTAGGAACTTAGACATCATCCTCAGATACCTCATTTAACAGCTGGGAAAGCTGAGACCCAGAGAAAGGAAGGTACTGACTCTCCAGTAATTTTGGCCTGGATACAGCATAATGTAATGGTAAGAGTGAGCACATTCTCCGGAGCCATAGAATTGAGGTTTGGTTGTAGATCTGTAGCTAACTAGCTGGATAAACTTGGCTGATCACTTGACCTCTCTGTAACTCAAACTATAAAATGAGAGCAAGAATATCTATCTCTCAGGGCAACTGTGAGTGTTAGAAGAGATAAAGTGTAACACAATGTTTGACCAATATAGGTGCTCAGTAAGTATTAATCCTGGGCACTGCTCTTTGTCCCCATCTGCACATAGGCCCAGGAACACACATCCTGGTGCCCATGGCTTTGATTTTGTCTGCCTTGTGTCCCATGAGTTCCAAGCACATCTCTATTAGTCTTATCTACTGAAGATGTAAGATCCTTGAAAATAGGTGCCAAGTCTAACTTAGCATCTGACAGACCTACCACATACCTCTGACCTAGCAGAATTACCATTAAAAAAGGAGCCTTTAGAGACTATAGAATTGAAGAATTAGGAAGCAGGTGTCTTGGTGCTTTTTTGTGGGTCTGACTCTACATAACAAGGAGGAGGAGTTGTTTCCAACTCTCTGGATAATAAATCAAGGAAGCATGTGGTCATAAAGTTTCCTATTTAATCAATATATTTTAATAACTTATTAGGGGAAGAAAAACACTATTGTAAGAGGGTGAGTGGTTTCTCTTTTCCTTTATTATCATCTCCTTCTTGCTCTCCCCTGTCCCCTTTTTCTCATCCAAAAAACAGAGAGACTTATACCACCTATTCAGACTTACCCTTCAGATACAGGAAAGCATCTAAAAGACAAATGCTGGGATGAAATACTGTGGCAGAGAGAGATTCATAGAGAAAAAGAGGCCAAATTAGAGAATGAACTTCATGGCAGCTGGTGCCCCTAGGGCCAGAGGGCAATTGACTATAGTAGTTCTAGATGGCCCAGGGCTCATATGGCCTCAGGGTGAATAAGAGTATTAGTCTTTCCAGATCCAGCTCATGGAGCCTTTCAAGGATTCTCAGGAGTCCCTCCCTTCATCCCTCCTTTCCCACCAGTCCTTTCTGTTCTACTCCTGCCCAGATTATGCATAGCCCTAGGTGCCTCCAGGCAGGTGATGGGTCCATCACTCCTGCCTGGCTGCCTCTCACTGTCACATGTCCTTCCCAGGGTGAGGACATCCTAGACAGGAGCTCGGAGCTGATCTACACTGGGGAGATGGCCTGGATCTACCAGCCCTATGGCCGCAACCAACAGCGGGTCTTCTTCCTGTTTGACCACCAGATGGTCCTCTGCAAGAAGGTAATCACACCCTCTTCTTCCTTGAGGAATATGGGCACTTCAGGGGGCACCAGTCTCTCCCTCTTTATCATCCCCAAACTCTCAATAAAGTGAGCTAAAACTTATGGGTCAAAAGCAGACAAGAGATTGACAGCAATTCCATATCGGGATCACTGGTATGGCATGAATATTGTAAGTAAAGCTGGCTTTTGGGCAGTGAAACTCTGAAGATAGGATATTTTTGTCTTGGTATCATTTTTACTGTTTACCCTCCTGTCCCTGGTGATCCTTCTCCACTACTTCCACCCAGAGATGATAGCCTACTGGTTTACACTAGGCATTAAAAATATTTAAATATTTCTATCCCAGTTGGTGAATAGTGGCTTCCCTGAGCAAATTCACCCTATTTCCACTCCAATGGCTCTAGCCATCTGGACCCTCCCTGCCCCAAGAAACAACAAGGGTCCTCCTACCTTTCCCTGACAGGTATGTACTTTTGTGGTACAGGAATTTCCCCTGTGCCCTTACTTATTTTCTACATAAGTTGTATCACTTTCCTATAACTCTTCACTATGCTTTTCTCCACCCTCCATTCTCTGTAATCCTTTTGATGAGATGTCTTACTCTTGTCATTGACCTCTGGCTGACTCAATGTGAGTGTTGGTTTCGTGGTCTCCAATCCTTGGCAGGTAGGATGATGGCATATGTTCTCAGACTGATGGATATACTGTTCCCCTCTTCCAAAGGTATACTGTTCCCCTCAATTTCTCTCTCAGCATAGGGATTTCAGACCACTTTTGGCTCCAGGGAGTGGTTGGGAAAAATTTTGGACCAGGGAAAATAAAAGAGAAGGGAAAAACCAAAGAATGCTTAGAGTGACTTTCTAAATTTGTTGTCCTACCCTTGGCTCTGACTCCATCATCCAGTCCCTTTGTTCTTAACCTTATCCAGTAGTAAATGCATCTGAAGAGGAATGGTGAGTCTTGAGATACCTAGATTAAAATTGTAATTTTTTCCAGCCTGAGACATGAGCTACACATTTGTTTTTAAGCACCCTGTTCTCTGTGTGTGCCACATGTTTCATTAAAACTTTGTCCATAACCCTAACTGGTTTGTCTCAGTGGATAGAGTGTTGGCCTGCGGACTGGGGGGGTCCCAGGTTCGATTCCAGTCAAGGGTATGTACCTTGGTTGCGGGCACATCCCCAGTGGGGGGTGTACAGGAGGCAGCTGATCGATGTTTCTCTCTCATCGATGTTTCTAACTCTCTATCCCTCTCCCTTCCTCTATGTAAAAAAATAAAATATATGTAATAAACAAACAAACAAAACTTTGTCCATATGCCTTTGACAGTGGATTGAGAGAACAAATTGAGTTTTGAGTCAAAGTGCCTCAGTGTTGGAGATAAGCTTTGAATGCCAGCTCCGGAACCAATAGCGGATTGGTTAATGGATACAATTATCTTGGTCTGTAGCTGACTCTGGAAGACGGAACTTTTATGACTATAGAACTTGGCCAAATACCAGGCCTCTTCTTAGCTCCCCCCCCCCCAATTCTTCCTAGGACATCTATCAGCTCAGGAGACGGAATTGTTGAGGATTAACTCAAGATTTATTGCAAAAACTTACCCATTTTGCAAATTATTATGCAAAATCTTTCCCATAGTGTACATTGGAAATTGGGATTACCCGTGCCACTAAGAACAGCTTTAAAAATGTGTAGCTTGATTTAGAGGATGCGTGTATCTATATACACATATATATGTATATGTTTATGAATTAAATGGCCATTATAGTAGATGTGAAGATACCAGTGACTTCTAATTATGTGATCTGTTCTTTAACTTTTGCTGTCCTCATTCTTTTCTTGTCGCTTTTCTTTTGAAAAATATAGATAAGATCATTTGTTCTCTTTTTTTCCTGTCCTCTATGATGGCTGGCTCTGCTCCTCTTAATCTCATTGCCCTGATATTTTAGTTATGCATGTGTATTGTTATTTTTTCTGACATAGCTATACTGGAAATTATTTTGCTGCTTTTGGGGATTTTTCCCCTTTTCTCCATTTTGCCCTTTCACTTTTTAGTGGGAAAGGGAGGAGAACCCATTTCTCCTCTCCTCAGTCATTTATCTACTAAATTTCCTACAGCCCTGAAGTTGCCCAAACAGACTTTGTCTTGTATCTTCTGTCAATAGTGCTAGTCTGGATGTGCTCTGTTGTCTCCTGTGTCATGATTACTTGATATTTATGTTGTTTTTGTCATATATAGAATTCAATGATGCTAGAGAAGGGACTTCTTTTGTTCAAGTAACTCTCTGAATTTGGGCCATTTCTTCTTGCACTGATTGGCCCGACTTGGAGGATGAGCCATTCAGGACAACTAGAAATGCAAACATAGCAACAGAAATGGGGATAGAGAGAAAGAAAATGAGGAGCCAGAACAACTGGGTCCTAGACTCTACTGTCTCTTACTAATTAGTCTAACCTTGGGCAGTGTTTTAACTGTAAATAATTATTTTTCCTCAGTGTCAAAGCAGGTACATGATAAAAATTTATCTCAGGAGGTTTTGAGAAGAACCCTCTAAGTTAGTAGGAAGCAGTGAAGTTTACTCTTAAGAGCATGGATTCTAGGTCCAGATAGGAGGGAATCAATTTCTTTTTTTTCCATGAGCTGCATGACCTTGGACAAATTATCTGTGCCTATTATTATCCCTTCATTTGCAAAATGAGAATCATAATCATGTCTACATAGAAGGGAAGTAGGGAAGGTCAAATGATACAAAATAATTGCAGTGAGTGGCACATAGTAAGTACATAGTAAATACTAGCCATTGTATATTTAGTGTTACTAATCATTTATTCAGCAAATTTTTATTGGGAGGCAGTATCCAGAAGGTTGAACAATCATAGATTCTAGAGCCAGATAGCCTGGATTCAAGGTACAGCTCTTCCATTTAGTATTTTTTTTCTGGACAAGTTTCTTAACTGCTCTATGTTTAGAGTTCCTCATAAAATGGGATTACAACAGTACCTTCCTTGTAGAATTGTTGTGAGGATTATTTAAGTTAATAAACGCAAAAGCATTTAGCTACTGAGTAATGCATAAAGAAAATATGGTATGCGAAATGGAATATTACTAAGCCTGAAAATAGAAGAAACTCTTGCCATTTGCAACAATATGGATGAACCTGGAGGGCATTATGCTAAATAAAATAAGACAGAGAAAGACAAATACCATATGATCTAACTTATATATGCAATTTAAAGCATTTGAACTCATAAAACAGCGAGTAGAATGGTTGTTGATGGGCTGGTGAGGTGGAGGAAATAGGGAGATATTGGTCAAAGGATAAAAACTTTCAGTTATACCAGATGAATAAGTTCTCGAGAGCTAATGTACCAGCATGGTGATCATAGTGATACTGCGTTGTATTCTTAAACTTTACTAAGAAAGTAGAACTTAAGTTTTCTCATCACAAAAAAATGGTGATGCATATGTTAATTAGCTTGATTGTGGTAATTACTTCACAGTGCATACCTTAAATATATACCTCAATAAAGCTGGAGAAAAAGGCAAAACACTTAGAATAGAATTGGCACATAAATTATGCTGTGTTCACTGTTGCATTATTATTATTATTTTGTTATTAATAAGTATGTACTCTTGATGCTGAAATGAAATAATGAGAAAAATAAATCCAGTCCCAGTCCCTGTGCCTTCCCCAGGATCTGGAGAGAAAACCAGAGTGACTCAGGCTAGGGGGGTAATAACCATCTAAAGAGGCAGAGAGGACCTTATTGACAGTCAGACTACAATTCTGAACAGTTGCATTCCCCAGATTACATTATCTCTCATTTGTACAAAATGTCCTACAGTATTTTACTAAACCTAACGAAAACTCAGTGAGTCCAAATTCAAATAGCTCCCATCTGTTTCAATTATGCAATGTCAGGGTTGGGGATAGATTCCTTGCTAGAGCCATGGTTAGGGCCAGGATGCTTGTCTGCAGACATCTGGGGCTCTCCTGGAGAAGTAAAACTTCCTTAATATCCTCCATCTCATATTACTGAAAGGGAAAAGGAGGAAAGGTGATATACTATTGGAAACAACCCTATTTAGGCAGGGAACTTGTGGCAACCCAGATAGCATCTCTGAGCACTTATTTCACCGTGTCCCAATGAAAACACTCAGTCAACCATTAACAAATGGCATGTAACAGCCTGTTTCCGATAGGACCATAGGCAACCAGGGTTCAGAGAGGTTGTCTCTTTGTTATGAGCAGAAAAACCTCTGAGGCTTTGTCAACTGTCTTTCCTAGGACAACTGCTGAGTGAGACAAGACAAGGGTGGTGCTATGCTTGGCACAGGTTAAATGAACAGACAAAACTAAAAGCTGTGAAACAGAACAAATGTAGCTCAACAATGTGGTAGCTGAGTGTCAATTGTGTAAGGGTGTATAGTCTGTGCTAGCATTCACAAAAGGGAAAACACAGTGAGGAGCTAGAGGGTACAGTCAGAGAAAACTTCTTTAGGGGAGGAAGAATGTGTGAATTTGACTTTAAAGGCTGGTTGTATTAAATAGGAAGCATCACTGGGGCAAGG